TGTTTTTTTTACTTCTCAAAAGTCATCTAGTCCTGTAACTCCAAAAAACTTTACCGATAGGTCCCTTCCTTTCTTATTTTTACTGTGATTGCTTTTGCTCGAGTTCCTACCATCGTTTGCCTGGACTGCTGTAGGAGAGCTTGACGGACTGGATTCCAGTCTTCTACTGTCCCAACTCTTCTTTATATTGTCTTAGTTATAATGCATTTCTTTTTTTAAATGTATTTTTATTTATTTATTTTGTTTTATTTTTGGCTGTGCTGCACGGCTTGCGGGATCTTAGGTCCCCGACCAGGGATCGAACCTGCGCCGTTGGCAGTGACAGTGTGGAGTCCTTCCTAACCACTGGACCTCCAGGGAATTCCCTATAATGTATTCCTTAACAACAACAAAAAGCAAAACGATCCCAACACACCAACATCACAACAAACAAATCGAACGTGAGCATGTCGCTCCCATACATACTATTTTTCAAAGGCTCTCGGTGGCCTGTAAGACAAAGTTCAGATTCTTTAGCAAGTCACATTGTGACCCTCCTCTCCTTTTGGGTCTTGTGCTCTTTCCATACGCCCTGTGATATAGCTACACCAAGTCTCTTGCCATTCCCCAAACACGTCATGTCTTTCATCCTGAGCTTTGCAGTGTTTTCCTCTGCCTGGAATGCCCTTTATAACTTGTCTGCTGAGAATTTCTAATCTTAAATTTCCTCATCTGGACAACAGGGTGATAATAGTGTTTACTTCAGAGAGTTGTCATGAAGACAAAGTAAAATGATCTGTTCCCCAAGGTGCCTGGTATATAGAAGCAACCACCAAATGTTCGCAGTCATTGTCACTGCTTGTCACTGACATCACTGTCATCTTTGTTTTTTTCAGATCTGAACAAAAACATCTCCTTTGCTCAAAATCTTCCCTGACTTACCTGGAAGTGTTAGTCATCCCTCCTCTCTGCTCCTATATGCCTAATTACAGTACCATCTTACGTCAATTTCGAAATGGATGGAATTTTCATCGTTTAGCATCTCTGACACTGCGGTCCCTCGTGTCGTCTATGACGTGTCATGGTTTAATCGGCAGCAATTTCTGTTTCTAAGTAGTACTTGGAATAATGGTGTTTCTTATGAGTGGCATATCAGATGACACCTACACTCACGATAACTGCCATAAAAACTTGATTATCCAGAGTGGGTAATGCACATTTATAGATGAGAAATCTCACATTTTCTATGAATCCGTGAACCATCTCCATAAAAATAAGGGACTACTACTTGGAACTCTACAGAGTTCTATAGCCAAGAGCTATTTCATTTGTATATACTGCAGTGTAGCAAGGCACCGCCTCCTGAACCACAGAGGCGTAGCCTGATGAAGTAGCCTGCCGCCACCTGCTTCAGGTAAGCGCCCCTACCTGAGAGCCAAACAACGGCCAGACCCAGAGCAAAAGTGGGGAGGGGCTAGCGTGTGATACTGGGTCCCAATAACCCAGGATTTAAGCTGAGAAGGTAAAGCGATAACGTGGAGAGGAAAGTGAAGGAATGTGATGGGAAAGGCCAAGGGATCTTACTTCTAGACAGCCCTGTCCGATAGAGCTACAATGCAAGCCACAGATATAATTTTAGATGTTCTCGTGGCCGTGCTTAAAAATGAAAAGAAACAGGTCAATTAAGATTAATATTATATTTTACTTATTTAACCCAATATATTAAAAATACTATTTTACCATGTAACCAATATAAAAAAAGCAGAAATAAAATATTTTGCATGTTTCATGGTATTGTCTTCAAAATCTGGTGTGTGTTTGATCTGTGCAGCACCTCTCCGTCTGGATTAGCCACGTTTCAACTGCTCAGCAGCTGCATGTGGCCAGTGCCTGACACACTGGGTGGCACAATTCTAGACTGTTCTTTCAGTTAACTAATGAGTCAACAGTAACACAGGTATTTCAACAGTGGCTCTTTTCACCACATGACACTGGCAATGTTTAAGATTTATTTTTATATTTTAAAATTCATTTTAGAATAGTAATTTTCCTCCAAATTCTTGTTGTGTCTCATTTTGGCTGACTTTGTTTTAACCATAATTTGAGGCTATTCCTATGTCCTTCCCATCTTCCCTTCCCTCTGTTGGTTAACGGAGAGGTGGCTCCTTTATTCAATTACAGACCTTTCCCCAGTAAGACGGTCCTTGAGAGAGGGACGAGGGGTCTGTGGCTCATCTTAGGATCGCCAGCGTCTGTCACAGTGCCTGACACATAGCGGGCTCTGATGAAATACCTTTGAATACCCATTAAGAGGTGAACTAAGCTTGACAATAGTGGTTCTCAACCTGGGCTGCACGCTGGGGTTACGTGAGGAGTGAAAAAAAGAAATGCTGATACCTGGTCCCACCCCTAGAGATGCTAGTGGTAGGTTTGGAATTTGGCCCGGGTGTTGAAAGTTTTAAAATCTCCCCAAGGTGATCCTAGTATGCAGCCAGGGTTGAGAACCACTGCTCTAGGGCTTTCTTAGAACAGCTTATTGTGGACACATCCTTGCGTTTCTGACTCAAGGTCCAGTTTGCCTCAACTCGATTCCCTCCCTCAGAACGGATCACACTTTCTTAAGAAACCTGGTAGAGAAGAAGCTAAAACAGAACTTCCAAGAGTGATTTGCAAATTCCTTTTCCAAGGCATCAAAGATTTTCAGTGTTCTAAATCTCTTCGTATTTACCTTCTTCCAACAAAAAGAAAAAAATTCACAACATAAGTGTTTTAAAATGTTAACTAATTTGAAGAGAAAGGATCCTAAGGCCATTACCGTATATGAGCCAATAATACCCAGACATAATCATTGCAGAATTTTCTAGATATAGAATAATAGCAATTAAATATAGAAATGGATAGCCGAGATATGGAAGCAACCTAAATGTCCACTGACAGATGAATGGATAAAGAAGATGTGGTACATATATACAGTGGAATGGAATATTACTGAGCCATAAAGAAGAATGAAATAATGCCACTTGCAGTAACATGGATGGACCTAGAGATTATCATACTAAGTGAAGTAAGCCAAAGACAAATATCATATATTGCTTATATGTGGAATCTAAAAAAATGATACAAACGAACTTATTTACAAAACAGAAAGAGACTCACAGACATAGAAAACAAACTTACGATTACCAAAGGAGAAAAGCGGATGGGGAGAGGGATAAATTAGCAGTTTGGGTTTAACATATAACAAAATAGATAAACAACAAGGACCTACTGTATAGCACAGGGAACTATACTCAATCTTTTGTAATAGACTATAAGGGAAAAGAATCTGAAAAGGGATATATATATTCACTGTGTTTTATATTCACTGAAACTAACACAATATTGTAAATCAACTAGACTTCAATAAAAATTTTAAAAAATTTTAATTTAAACAAATAGAAATGGGAAAAAGAAAGGAATGGAATTGAAATACACATGAGCCTCATTTCAAGTTCCCTATACATATATCAAAAGTAGAAATTATTAATTGGGGGTCAGCAAAGGGAAATATTTCGTGCACTTCTTTAGGCCATTTAGGTTATATTTACATAAAATAATCATAAAGCAATGCATCTACTTTAATAAATCACATATAAAACCTAATTTTAGCCACATAACCCGTAAGTGTTGGTATTACTATCTGCTCTCAAAATGATACTTGGCCTGATGGCATTATGGCACTACTTCCTTCATATATAAGGTCCAGCTATGGCCAAGAGAGAATTCTGACTTCTGCTTCAACACAAATGAGACCTCATCCAGGAGGAGGGAGCAATGAACTCTGCACCAAGAGACCAGCTGGAATGAAGTTTCTCTGACTCATGGACTGAGAATTTCCCTGCCAATTTCCAAGGTGGTTTGGCCATACTTTACCCTGCTTAATGGTCTTTTGTTGATGGTGTGGTATCATGTAGCTTAGTAATAAACAGAAACAGCATGCTGATATACCCCTAAAGGTTCCTACATGCATTTCCTCTGGCTTTCTAGCAAAGACAAAAGACCCCTCTAACTACCCCACACTTTTTTTTTCTTTATTGAGATAGTATTGACATGCAGCATTAGATTAGTTTCAGGTGGACAACATAATGATTCCTTATACGTATATATGGTGAAATGACCGTCACAGTAAGTCTAGTTAACATCTGTCAGCATGCAGACTTACACATTTTTTTCTTGTAATGAGAACTTTTAAGATCTACTCTCTTAGCAACTTTCAAATATACAATACAGTGTTATTAACTACAGTCACCATCCTGTAAGTCACGTTCCCCATGACCTATTTATTTTATAATGGGAAACTGTGCCCCACACTTATTTTTGTTTTACATCTAGGCTGAATTTGAGAAACCAGAATAGGAAATATCCAAAAGGCGTTAAACTTTCACGTTCGCTACCAGGGCTCAACAAAAGTTCCCTAGTCCTGCCAAAACCATGGAGGAAGGAATATAACTCGGTAAGATTTTTAAGTCAGTACTGGGTCTCATGCGTATCGCTTCCATCCGCTAACCCCAGAGGGCTGACGGTTGCCAAGTGATTGGATGTGTGACATTCACCTGGCCCCAATTTTCCTTCCTGAAAAGAATGGAAAATACAACACAAGTTTCCAAATTGCTACACTCGTAAAACCAGAAAGATAATCACCATCCGCCTGCACAACTGCATAATAAGCCTTGCATGGACGTCGTCTGTCAGTTAACAGGGACTGAGGATCCTCTTGGGATCCGTGCAGAGACAAAGAGAGAAAGGCTTCTCTCGCAAAGTTCACAGACACAGGAGTGATGTTAAAGGATTTAAAATCTCACAGCAGATTGAAAAGGTGATATAAAGGTTACAGGACAACTCCATCTAAGTTGAGTACGGCTCCACCATGGGAAGACGGTCTCATGGAATCGTCCGCCAGTGCTCAGGCGGGATGCACGGGGCAGTGGGTGTCAGAGAAAGAAGGAGAAAGGAAGGACGTTTCAGGACGTCACGCCTCCTACCTTTCTGGAAGAACTCTTTGAGTCTGTCCTTGAACGGCTGCAGATACTCCTTTGGTGACTCCTTACACACCACTGCCATCTGTTTCTCACTTGCTGTGAAGAGAAGGTGGCAGTTAGACTTCCTCGAGAACACGGGCTTGCTGAACTTGTGCTCTATGCTCTACACGTGGGTATTAACAGTGCAAAATCCTTATGCATCATCGTTTATCCAAATTACAGGGGAAAGAGCAGAAACAAACAAATAATTAGCTCACTTTACACCTTTCTTCAGGAACAGGGAAATGCATCACCTTCAAGTTTTGTTTTTTTTTTAGAGACACGGCAAAACCTCTGACTTGGGACAGGTGAAGTACTCTGCTTTTGGTCTCTCCAAAATAGAGCCAAGAACTACTCAAGGACTAGTTCTAGGGAATTAAAGGCCCAGACCCTCTTCAGATACAAACTCGAAAAGTGGAGCTTAAAATAGATTTTGCAGAAATTCTCACCAAACTGGCGATTCCTCAAGGTGACACCCACATCCCAGCATGAGAACTAACCCCAGGTTAGGGAGGACCGAATCTCTCTTCACTCCCGTTCACCTCCCCTTCCCATTAACACGTGTGAAACATTTTATACGTAATTTACTTCAGACAGGATATCTGGAATTTACAAGAGGTTGCTTTTTTTGATAATCAATCCCCCTCAAATTAGATAGTCTGACTTGGTGACATGGAGGCCACAATAAACCGTCATAAAAAGCAGTTAACCCAGGCAAGAGGCATTTTCTCAAGGTTTCTGTATGTTTGTGCCAGTGGCAGAAATGCACTGGGTAAAAAAAGGCTTCATTTCTCCAAAGCTAGAGCTGAGTCATGATCACTTTTGTCTGTTGATCATGGCCAGAAATTACTGACATGTCCTTATTCAAGAGAATATATTAAAGCATTAGATTTTCGCCCGGAAGTCATGCCACCTGCTTCCAAAAATAGAGAAAGATATATGCTTGGAGGAATTTACAGAAGCACAGAGGTAAGGCATTTTGGAAGAAGACAGTTAGAAAGGATTCCTTTATTTATGTTGGGAAATTTGTATACAAGAACTTGGTGTTTCCAAAACTAGCACCCCAGAATGTTTACTATGTAAGGCAATCCACAAGCATGTCAGCACTGAAGCACAAAAAAGGCAAAAGAGGTCACTCAAGGGTCCCTCGGAATTAGCTGCCTGACCCTTTCTCTTACAATATTGCCAACTAGATTGTGGAAATACTAGGCATCCCTGGGAGACTACCAGATTGTGCTGAAGACGAAAGCATGACGTGATGGAACTCTGTCAAGTTCAGCATCAGCTACATTCCCAGAATCAGCTCCGGGGATTCCCACCTGAGATCACGAGGCTGATCACAGGACACAAGGGCCTAAGTTTAGGCTCTTCCTATCGACAATGTTATTTTCCAGAAGTTTTTAATAGACCTTATTTTGAATATCTGCGATTAACTATTCTGATAACCATATCGGTGCTATCTAGGAAACCCTGTCCATTGGGACACAAAGACTCATTTCTTTTTTTAAAATGATCTATCTTACCTGGAACAAATTCCTTAAAACCAGCCAAAACCATCATTTCAAAACACTCCTTTCTCCCCCGCTACGTTCTTACCTTTATTTTTCAGTGTATTTGTCCTCTCTACAATGACTACTTAATAATTTTCTGCTATTATCAGATTTCCCTTTACCTCTTTCCTAGTAGATGGGCCTGTGGCCAAATGATAAGTACCTCCCTTCCCACCACTATTCTGTTCTCAAAATAATGGCTTTGGGCTAGAGTGATATCAAGGACAGAGAGGAGAGGGACGGGGTATATAGAGCTGGAATCTATTTCGGAGGTAGAACAAATTGCTGATGCAGTCGATGTAAAGTTGCGGGAGAGGAAGGATGAACAAGATGTGGCTAGGAGTGCCATTTACTGAGATGGGGGAGAGGTGAGTGTATTGGTTTTTTTTGTTCTGTTCTTTCCTTTTGTTTTAAGGGAGAGGAGATGAAAAGTTAACTTTGAAACTTGTTTTCCCTGGTCTCTGCGAATTACAAGGCAAGATCATCCACTGAAAACAAAGCGGGAAAGGTACACAAAAAAGATGAAACTCTTAATGGGTTCTCGTTGCTCATTCAACTGAATTCAAACTCCCAAGCCTGAGATTTAAGGCCTTTTCCATGATGGTACCATTCTACCTTTCAGTTCTATTTCCCCATATATTTGACCAATGAAATCAAAATTATGCAATGTTTCCAACTTATATAAACCAGTGTTCCCAGTTCCATGCCTTCATTCATGTGGTTCTCTGCCCATCCTGCCCTCATCCCAAACATACCTTCTACCGCATTTGACAAAGTCCTGTTCATCCTAAAAAAGTTTCTCTGAGCTGCTGCCACCACCATAAAACCTTTCCAATCCAAAGATTTTGCATCTTTCAAACATCTACCTTCCAGAGAGCATTTATGTTTTACCTTTAATTATATTTAGTTGTGTATTTCTATTAATCCCTGCAAAGCCATTATGCAGGATTCATTTACACATCTCCAAACTTCTCCAGAGACCTCCATGCACACCTGGCCAAAGCAACAGATCTCCTCACCTTAACTAGCTTCTTGTGCAGAGGAAGGTGGAAAAAAAATTAGCAATGTTGACCCAGACTCCGAGCGGGCTCTCCAGGGGTGCAGTATGACCTCCTTGTCTCTTTACTCTTTTCCCTCCTTCCCAGGAAGGTACATCAAGGGGTCCTAGTCTCTTCATTCACAAACCCTGTGACTGTCCCAAGCTGATGTGAAAGGGCTCAGTGTATTTTAAAGACCCTCCCCACCCCATAAACATCCACCACTTCATGCTGTAAGGCACAAGAAGGTCATTCTCCTGACTGAGCAGTTATGACAGCAGGCCTAGAAGCAGGAGACTGGTCAGACACACTTTGGAAGAGGCCTGCTTTCAAGAATCTACCGTTTTCAATGAACTTTCATGACCACATAAGCTTTTCTGATGATATCCAGCCATGATTCTGAGAACATAGGAAGCCATATTTATTCTCACAATATAAATTGGGAGAGGCCTTTAAATTCTTTAGCCCTCTACTACATTCAAATTCCAACAATTCCGTTTATAGAGAACTATTTTTCACGAACACAAATAATATATGGTTAGGCCTGCATTTTGGTAAGAGGACATCCTTGAAGCCCTGACAGTAATTTCTTCAAGGTTACTTCTCCCTAGCAAACGCAGAGCCCAAGGCAGAGCTTCTTTTCCTAAATACACAAGCGAAGCCTCCACCTCTGCCTGAATTAAAAGGGTTGATCACTGCAGCTCTCCCTTTGTCTCATCTGTGCTGCCAGAGCCCATGGGGTCCATCAGACTGCCCAGATTTTATGAGGCCAGGTAGTGGTGTGGCAAAGGGCTCGTGCTTGGATCGAGCCCTACCTGAGTGCAGGTGGGCTGCAGCTTTTCTCATCTGCAAAATGGGGACCCCCTTCCTCATAGGCAAGATACATGCATTGTGAGATAATGCACGTAAAGTGGTTTGCAAAATGCCTGGCACTAGCAGGTGGCCTCGTATTTATTATTTGTCACTTTTATGCCTTTGGTTGAAACGTGTCATAGCCAGAACAGCAAGAGAGTCATGGCTAGGGATTACGTGCTACAAATTCTACACTCTTATTTAAAAAAATATGCCCCAGTGCAAATCTTCTGTTTGGAACAAAGAGATGATGTTTTTTGTTCCCTTGCTGACGGTTCCACCACCCACTCTGAGAATTCAAGGAAGAAACTCCTGGAGAAAGATGAAGCAAAATGTGAAGCAAGTGTCCTGGGCCTCCGAGCTTCATGGTTTTGAAATAAGAAACACTGAAACCAGCGCAAAGGAGAGCAGCTCCCCTGCTGTGCCCGAGGCCCTCTCTGCACCCCAACGGGCACAGCCTCCCATGTGGCCTGTTACAATTAATCTTCTCCACACGATCAAAGCAGAGGGCTGCCCTCTGACTGACTGAGCACAGTCGCACATTCAATGGCCAAGCAGCTTGCCCGCTCCAACTTACTAACTTGGCTTATCCAGGATGCATTCTAGCAGACAAACAGGAGACCTGAAGACTAATTAACAATGACACTGGAGACTGGCAGTGCATAAAGGAAAGAGGTCCCTGACAAATTCCCAATGTCATTAATTGTCCAACCAGAAGATGCTTATGCAATATTGCTAGACCACCAAGGTTGCCTCAGACACAGGCTGTGCCAGGAGTTCCAATGTTAAAAGCCAAAGTCACCCAGGTTCTTTTTCTCTCTCCTTTTTCTATTAAATTTGACAGAATTAAAGTACATATTAATTCCTGAAGTTAGTTACTAATAGGTGATCATTGTGAGAGATGAATAATAAAATAATTGACACTAAATTGAGAGTATTCTCATTTAAAGGCTAAGAGCTTGTGAAGCATTTAAAATACAGCATATAAAATATAGCCAATACTTTATAATAACTATAAATGGAGTATAATCTTTAAAATTGTGGGTCACTATATTGTACGCCTGAAACTTATATAACATTGTACATCAACTATACCTCAATGAAAAAATTTAAAAAATAGCTTAACTGCTTGTGAAGCATTTTAGAGAAAGATATAGTTTTGAATGTTTTAAGATTTCAGATACTAGACTGGTTAGGTCATAAGTGGTTGTCTGTATTTTTGGTTTTTGACCTTTAAGAACAAGGAATAAAGTTATTGAGTAACTGAAAAAGCATGGGTAGGTTATAAGGATACAGAGGCAGGGCCCAGATACAGTTCATCAAAATGTAATACATGTTTAACCATTTTAACAGCTCAAATGTGTATGCACATTTTTAGGAATATATGGCGCATGTCTCTTGCTGTACGAGTTGAAGGACCTATGGGCTTAGTAATGAAGTCAGAATACATTTTTAGAGAAAAGGAAAGATGTATCTAGGCTCTGCTTTTTAACTCTGGGATTCTCTCTTTTCTCCTCTGTTGACCTAATTCCTACCCAACCCCTCCATGGTTCTGTGCCAGTTCTACCTGTTCTTCAGTTTTACAAGAACTGTCCTTTCCCTGAGCGCCATGCTCAAA